TTTTTATCTACACCTGATAGAAACGTTGATCTTATCTTTAAAATAAAGCATTTTCATTCACTCCTAATCTGAGCCTCTTTCATTTTAATCTTTGATTATACATTCAGAAATAGGATGTTGGAAAACATTTAAATTAATTTACATGTTTCATTAAATTTTTACTTTGTGGATTGGTAACCCTGGAGCTGTTATCACTGAATTTAAGTGATTCACAGTTTTTTTCTATACCACTCGTGTGCCTTCTTCTTATAAAGTACAATTCCACCAAGAAAAGAATTTGGAAGTACTTTGCACATTCACCTGCGTAGCTGAATCAAGTCAGCATCAACCATTCCTATTTCCACTTTCCATAGGAGAAGCAGAATGGGAGACTGACATGGAAAACCTGCAGAGTTAGGTACTGAATGGCTCCTCCTTCAACCTCGGTCTGTCTCTCTTCTTCACCCCATCTGGGAAATCAGTCTTCTGCTTTGATGCTTTCCATTTTCATTATTTCCAGATAATCATTCTGATTCAACTTGGGTATAGTACCGTGTTTCCCCGAAAATAAGACCTACCCATAAAATAAGCCCCAGCAGGATGTCTAAGCATGTGCACAATAGAAGCCCTACCCCGAAAATCAGCCCTAGTGATGGGCGTGGCTATGAAAATCCAGCCCTAGTGATGGGCGTGGCTATGAAAATCAGCCCTAGTGGTGGGTGTGGCTATGGAATCAGCCCTAGTGATGGGCGTGGCTATGGAAATCAGCCCTGGTAATGGGCGTGGCTATGGAAATCAGTCCTAGTAATGGGCGTGGCTATGAACTTCAGCCCTGGTGGTGGGCGTGGCTATGAAAATCAGCCCTGGTGGTGGGCGTGGCTGCGCAGCGCATCTGCACAACCCATGCGTGTCGTCGCGGAGCGGGAAAGAACACGAGCAGCCCTTCTCACCTGCCCCGTGAGAGCTCTAGTGCTCGACAGGAGAGATCGGGGCCGGTGGCTCTAAAGGAAACAGTCGCAAGACATTCAGGATGGGATTCGGGGTCTGGAGAGTGAGGATGATGTTCCATAAGACGACGACTGAATTCTATTTTAATCAGTGTAGATGGTTGTGTTGTCAGGGGTTGAAATGTGATTACTTTTTCTTGGCTATTCCCTAGTTTCCTCATCTGCCAAAATTCTTCTGGCAAGGAAAATCGTATGACAATCAATCTCTTTGCTAGTAATTATTGATCCAGTTATTATAATTTACTATAATTATTTAAGACATTGTTTACTATATACCTATCTATTGCTTAATAACTACGATTATTATTATTGATTCTGATTATCTGATGTAAGAAAGAAAGGCTAAGGTACACGGCTCTGTTATCTTGGTTCCTTATTCTTAACCTTTCTTTTCTTTTCTTTTTTTATACCTCACAGAGAACTTGATGAAGCTAATGAAATCCCAAGCTCCTACACCAGGAAAATATACATGTGCTCATATATGGAAAACATCAAAATAATTATATTTTTAATTTCTCCCCTCAAATCTTTGGTTCCAAATGAAAAACATTCTCCCATCTAAAACTTTAGTGACTTGATATGGAAAACGCGATTTAAATTTTTTGTTATATTCTAATATTCTGTCAGGTTGATGATTTTTATCAGCATAGTGTAGCTATAAATTAGCTGGGAACCAGTATGTCCAATGCATTTTTCTATTAATTTAATTGAATTTGAAGTGCACGAGGAGAGTGCATTATTTAAATTAAAAATTCAGTGAATTATTTTTTAATGGGAATAATAGAGTGAATTTGCATATATAAAATTTTCTTGAAGCTGATCACACATGTAATCGTATTTTTGAACATCAGTCATAACTTAGTAAGTCATAATGTAAGTCCGGTCTTGAATTCTAAGTTTAAATTAGGCAAGCAAAATGACAAAAGGAAATACAGGACATTATGCCATGATGAATAAGACATAATGTACAGAAGTCTATATATATTCACCAGTACTAAGTTCATGTGAACAGAATTTTAGAGAATTGCTTTCTCTTTTGACAGAAAAATAAAAGGATAAACCATAATATTCTATAGTACCTGAGCTGAACTATAGTTCAAATTATTATCCTTCTTTAGATGAAGTTTTGAGACGTCAAATGTGTATACCTTTAACACACATAATTACATATAGAAATATTTATAGATATGTATATATACACTGGTTAGATTAAATACACATTTATTTTTTTGCTTTGTCAAATGAGATTGCTTAACATAAATGCCATTCCAGTAGTAATGGGTATGCCTAATACCCAGATCTTGGTGTTGAGAAAGATAGGAACACTCATACACTGCTGGTGGGACTGGAAACTAGTACAACCTCTGTGGAGAGTAACATGGAGATACCTCAAAGAATTAAAAGCAGAACTACCATTTGATCCAGAAAGCCCACTAGTGGGTATTTACCCAAATTAAAAAAAGACATTCTATGAAAAAGACACCTGCACTCGAATGTTTATCACAGCACAATTCACAACTGCAAAGACGTGGAAACAACGCAAGTGCCCATCAATCCATGAGTGGTTTAACAAAATGTGGTGTATGTATACCATGGAGTACTACTCAGCCATAAAAAAATGGTGAGCGAATTACCTCTTGTATTAACATGGATGGAGCTGGAGCCCATTCTTCTACGTGAAGTGTCACAAGAAGAGCCCAACAAACAGCACACGTACTCGCCATTAAATTGGAACTAATTGATCAACACTTATATGCACATATGGAAGTGATACTCATCGGAAATCAAGCATGCGATGGGGTAGAGGGGACGGGTAAATTCACACCTAACGGGTATAATGACACTATCTGGATGATGGGCAACACTTACACCTTTTGACTCAAATGGTACAAAAGCAATTTATGTGACCAAAATGGTTGTACCCCCGGGTTGCTTAGAGGAACGACTGATTCTTGGACTGTGACAAGAAACACTGTGACCAGATGGCCTAGAGCATCTTGCAGTGCCAGAGAGTAAGGAAATGGTCATAAGGAGAGAGACAGACAGACAGAGAGACAGACCGACGGACCGACCGACCAAGGGCTGAAGCTACAACAATCTGTACAGTGAAGTAAGTAATGCAGTATTGAATTATAACCTAAAGTGCAAGATGAATGTCATTGCATTCATACTGATATGAATAAATAATTGAATAAATTGTAAATTGACAGATGAGGAAGAAGAGATGAATCTCCCATGCAGAAGAATTGCAAATAAATTATGGAGAGACTCAGCCCTCAAGAATGAGGAGCAAAACTCCACGCTCTTTAGCTGTGAGCTGCAAATAGTGACTTCTTTCCACCAGGTATAGTATGAAAAAGGAGAAAAGAGGTAACTTTACAGTGGAAAAGACTGACAAATACCACCTCGGCCAGGTGATCAAGGCCAACGTCTGCAGTTAGAAAGCATGTTGGTAGCAGGTGAGATGTGACAATGGCCTTCTATCTTTGTGGTCTTCCTCCCAATAACCCTTAACTCCAGTCTCACGATGAGAAAAACATCAGACACATTTCAGTAGTGGGCACCCTACGAAATACCCGGCCAGCACTCCTCAAAAATGTCAAGTCAGCGACAAGAAGGAAAGTCTGAGAAAATGTCACAGCCAGTTTCAGTTCTTCGTTTTCAAATGATCTCAAAGGTCAATCCTGGCCAGTCCAACTGGACAGGAAGCTCTTAAGCACAGAATGAGTCAGGGCTGGCTGGACCTACAATACCTTTCTTTCTGCTAGGAGATGACCAGAGAATCTCTGCACTCCCACATGCTATTCCTCAGTTACGAACGGAGTTCCTGGATTCCATTAACACCTTAAAAATATGTCACCAGAAAGAAAACAA